GTTTGTCCCTGGGAACCAAGCACTGGTGTTGGTCTGAAATTCTGGGAAGAAGATATAGTTCTGCATGCTGTTTGACCATCTCATTCCAGAACTGGTATAGGTGTGTGAATAAAGCAAGTTATATTAGAATATACCCAGACTTATCACTGAGTATTACATATTCTTGTAATGCATCTGCTGCTGGTCACTGTCAAAGACAGGATACCAGACTGGATGGAATGATGGTCTGAACTGGAACGGCAGCTCAGATGTTCCAGTACTTCTCAAAGATTGATTTTAAAGGGAAATTGTGAGGCTAAACATATTAAAAAGGAACCAACAGATTTCCTTACCTGTGTTACAGCTTAGGTTATTAAGAGTGAAATAATTTTAAAAATCAATATTACTTTTAATCATTTATGCTGTTTATGTTTTGTATTTCTTTCCTCCTACACAAAGAAAAATAGACTACTCCATTTCTAATCAGGTTCTTGTTTCAGCTTCCTCTACACAGCACACTGCTGCAGTGTGCGGCTTGCAAATACCCCAGAGGATTTTCTTTTTCAAATCTTTCCCTTGGAATTTGAAATAATCATAAAAATCTTTAAGGTGGCTGTATGTTTGGTAAAAGCTTTTATTAAAGCTAATTTTTCAGTCAAATTGGACCTCCCAATGACACTTTAAGTCCCTTGCTTTAAAATAGTGGAAGCTAAATTTTCCTCTCTCGCTTCCTTTCATGTTCAAAAACTGAAATAATTTATTGCAACAAAGGAATGTGTATAGAATCCAGTAACCAACAGAGGATGTGGAAAGATTTATTAGGAGAAACATTAAGAGCATTCCTGGCCAGGTGTATTTTTTTTTCTCCTTTAAAAAAAAAAAAAAGTGTACAACTTTGGCCAACTTCAGATATGGCTGGAAGCCTATTTAGAAAACGTAATGTCTGTAATTGTGAAACACTTCTCCACACTGCACCCGCAAACTAAACAAAAGTGGAGACTGGAGGTTGTTCCTGCTGAATTTCAAGAAGTGTGTTACTGAATCTTGAAAACAATTTAAATGTTTTTATCGCCCTATGGGCCTGATTCCCCATCCGTTGCACCTTGTGCCATCATTTACACCTGTGCAACATGGGCAAAAACCAGAATGGCATCTTCTGACAGCCACTTTGCACAAGCATGTAAATGTCTACACAAGATGAAAGACAATGCAGAATTGGGCCCCATGAGGCCAATTCTGCACTCCTTGTTTATCCCCTGCGCTAATTGGGACTTTTGTCTGAATAAGAAATACAGGATTTAACCATAAGTGAACAATAAACATCTGCGTTCTCAATGGCTGTGATGGTTATTTTTAACTCAGAGAATTTTGCAGGCTACTAGTGAATAACATTGACTAATCCTCCTAGGTATCAAAAATACATGAAATGGTTCCTATATCTAGGAATTACCATGTTTTCTCTGTATACACGATAACTGTTTCCAAAAATGGAATTTTAGAGCAAAATTCTAGTCTGAGCCAATCATTCATATTTCCAGACTAACGACTAAAGGCTCATGTGACTTACCTGGGATGAGCCAATGTGCAACAGAATAGCTCTGCTTTATTCCCTTATCATCTTAAAACTAGGGCTGTTGATTAATCACAGTTATCTCACATGATTAACTCAAAAAAATTAATCATGATTAAAAAAATTAATCACGATTAACTTTTAAACAATATAATACCAATTGAAATTAATTCAATATTTTGAATGTTTTTCTACATTTTCAAACATATTGGTTTCAGTTACAACACAGGATACAAAATATCCAGTGCTCACTCATATTATTATTTTTGATTACAAATATTTGCACTGTAAAAATAATAAACAAAAGAAATAGTATTTTTCAATTCACCTCATACAGATACTGTAGTGCAATCTCTTTATCATGAAAGTGCAACTTACAAATGTAGATTGTTTTTTGTTACATAAACTGCACTCAAAAAACAAAAGAATGTAAAACTTTAGAGCCAGACGTCCACTCAGTCTTACTTCTTGTTCAGCCAATTGCTAAGACAAATTAGTTTGTTTACATTTACAGGAGGTAAATGCTGCCCGTTTCTTATTTACAACATCACCTGAAAGTGAGAACAGGCATTTGCATGGTACTTTTGTAGGCAGCATTGCAAGGTATTTACGTGCCAGATATGCTAAACATTCGTGTACCCCTTGCCTCGGCCACCATTCCAGAGGACATGGTTCCATGCTGATGATGCTCGTTAAAAAAATGTGTTAATTAAATTTGTGACTGAACTTCTTGGGGGAGAATTGTATGTTTCCTGCTCCGTTTTACCCACATTCTGCCATATATTTCATGTTATAGCAATCTTGGATGATGACCCAGCACATGTTGTTCCTTTTAAGGACACTTTCACTACAGATTTGACAAAATGCAAAGAAGGTACCAGTGTGAGATTTGTAAAGATAGCTACAGCACTCAACCCAAGTTTTAAGAATCTGAAGTGCCTTCCAAAATCTGAGAGGGATGAGGTATGGAGCATGCTTTCAGAAGTCTTAAAAGAGCAACACTCCCATGCGGAAACTACAGAATTGAACCACCAAAAAGGAAAATCAGCCCTCTGCTGGTGGCATCTGACTCAGATGATGAAAATGAATATGCGTCTTGCTTCACTGCTTTGGATCGTTATCAAGCAGAACCCATGATCGGCGTGGATGCATGTCCTTTGGAATGGTGGCTGAAGCATGAAGGGACATATGAATTTTAGCGCATCTGGCATGTAAATATCTTGCGGCGCCGGCTCCACCAGTGCCATGCAAACACCTGTTGTCACTTTCAGGCGACATTGTAAACAAGAAGAGGGGAGCATTAACTCCTGCAAATGTAAACCACCTTGTTTGAGCAATCGGCTGAACAAGAAGTAGGACTAAAGTGTAGGCTCTAAAGTTTTAAATTGTTTTATTTTTGAGTGGTTTTTTTTTTGTATATAATTTTACATGTTTAAGTTCAGCTTTCATGATAAAGAGATTGCGCTACATTATTTGTATTAGATTAATTGAAAAATACTATTCCTTTGTTTTTCGCTTGTGCAAATATTTGTAATAAAAATAATGGTATAAAGTGAGCACTATACACTTTGTATTCTGTGTGGTAATTGAACTCAATATATCTGAAAATGTAGAAAACATCAAAAATATTTTAAAAATGGTATTCTGTTGTTGTTTAACAGTGCAATGAATTGTGATTAATTTTTTTAGTCACATGATTAATCATGATTAATTTTTCTAATCGCTTGACAGCCCTATTTAAAACTACAACCTCCAGTACCCCTTCTCTAACTTCAGTCCTCTCTTTAAACCCTCTCTTCTAGTTCTTCCAACTTCCCTTTCTGCCCTGGTTCTCATCGTTTTCTTAAAAATGAACAAATGACAGTGAGCTTCTCCAATGCCCCCCTGCCCAATATCCATTTTCCTTTCACTCCCAGTTAGACTTCAAGGCCTCTTACTCTTAACTTCTAACTCCTGTACTTGTATACTCATTCTGCCTTCCCCCATGCAGTAGCCCCTCTCCTTAAAAAAGCCAGCAATTGAGTCAATCTTCATTTTTATATCGTTTCCCTTTATCCATTAACCCAGGTTTCTTGAACATGCCATCTACAATCATTGGCTCAGCATCTTCTTTTCTGATTCCTCTTTAGAAATCTGACTTTTGATCCACTGCTGCACACACGGCTGGATTTAGGGGCAGGCAACCCAGGCGACTGCCTGGGGAGCTGAGCTTGGGTGGCGCCAGGCTCAGGATGCTGTTTTTGTTTTTAGCAACAAAAGGGAAAATAGAATGTTAGTAACAAAAGGCAAAATAGAAGTAACGTGTTCAGGTATTCCATGTATGGATTCATTTTTCACTAACAATTTTTTGTTATGGCATGAATAAATACAGATGTACAGATCCTAGCGTGCAAATGTATTGTCTTGTATGACCGGGATAAATCATGCATGCAAATCATAAATAAAAGTCATGAAATGGCCTACAAATGCAATAAAAATAAGGTATTCAAAATTTTAATAAATGGCGGGGTGGTGCTGAACACGCTCCTCGCCTGGGGCGCCATTTGGTCTAGGGCTAGTCTTGGCGGCACGCATATCACTCCCACCAGTGAGCTACTGCTAGCTACATCTATTGACATCTAATCAGTGTGCAGGTGGAGATACTAATTGTCCATACAGATTTGGCTTTTTATCTGCATATAATTAGGAAAATTTGGAAGCCAGATTGAATTCCCTTTGAAAAACTCATCTCCACTGCCTGTTAAGGAGCTTCATATTGTACTAGAGTGCCAGTAATGTTGTACCATCCCTTGTTGGCCTTTATACGTGCCTACCAAGAACAGACTAACTTCTTTGATTGTTTGAACACAGATAGGCTCAAATCACTAAGGTCCCAATGTTTAAATCTCATTGAAGTCACATGTTTCAGTGCTTTACTGAATAGGACTGGATTTAAGCACATGCTTAAAGTTAAGTATGTGCTTAAATGCTTTGTTTAGTTTGGACCTAAATTTGGATCCAGATTTCCCAAACCCTAAAATGTGAGGGTGTTAGGATTCTGGGTTTTGCTTCTGCCTGGGAAGCTGCTCATGGAATTTGGAGTTGTATTCGCTTTCAAACACAAGTTGGGGAGAGGGAGTCTGGAAAAAAGGTTTCATTTTGGATCATCTCTTAATTGAGACGATCTCATGTCATTAACCTGAAACAATTAAAATACATTCCATTACCGTTTGTTTACATTCTACTTCTGTCTACAAATGTTTTTTTATGGTATAGATTGGAGAACTGACATTACTATGACATTTTCTTTTATAAACAATCAACATTTTTGGAAGGTTTTTGTACTGGTAAATGCAGCACATTTTGAATTTGTGTCAGAAGTCATAAACTGATTGTGCATATTTTTAAAAGGTTGTTAAGTGCGATTAACTTTTTTCATAATTGCTCACAGGCTATTCCTTTTTTCTTTCAGGATGATCCGAAGCTTCAGGAGACAATAAATTCTGCTGCTGCCATTATCTCTGCATTAATAAAGGACAGAAACCCGGAGCTGATTGGCCAGCTGTTGGTAGCATGAATAACTAAATCATTTGTAGCTAACAGAAGTATTTCTTTTTCATCATGTGTTTAGCAATATTCTTGAAACATTTTACTCTGTGACAAAACCACTGGACTTACAAAGTTTGTTATTAGGATATTTTATCAACATAAAATGTAAGTCTGACCTTGTGTTGAGATGCAAGTGTAAATGAAATAGAAGATGCTGTGAGGTGCACCAGGTATTATACTTCAAAGTGTTTATATTGAAGCATTATATGTGAGGTACTGATCATTTCAAAAACTACAACTGATTGGTGCTATTTAGTCCTTTCATGTCCAAAGCACTTGATCTAAGCACAAATTTCTTTTCAACCAGATAACATATATGATATTAAAGCACAGCTGGTGCTCTTTAATACAAGACATAGTCCCTTGGACTTTAATGAAAGTATCCTAGAATTGTTTTCAAGATCTGGTCCTTATTCCCCAGAGAATGAAGATTAAATTTTAAAAATACATTTGTGCATACCATATGAGATGTAATAGCCTATCCTGGGAGTGCAGAATTAGGAATTCATTGTGGTGGGAACTAATTCTTTTTAAAGCTTGAAAGGTTATCAGTTCTGATGGTAGTGGAGAAATAAGACAGAAGAAAGACTCTCTTCTTCAGTAATTGAGCTGCACTTTCAGTTTTTGTGTCACTCTGATTTTCTGTTTGATATATGTGTTTGTTAGACCATCATCTGGAAGACAGTATCGTAACTGCTAATGCATGGAGGGTGTTTTGACATTTAAATGAAGATGGCTTAGGGAGGAGGGTAGAATAAGAAGTTTTCACTTATCTGTGTTGAATATTTTCACATGTTCTACTAGCTTAAAATGTACAGTTCTCTACTGCCTCTGGCAGCACGTAACCCCCTGCAGTCTTAATGTTTTTTTGGTACTGTGTTTCCCCAATTTGTGAATAAGTTAGATTACATTCTTAGGAACTCTTGTTGACTTCATTGTAATTGGAACAAGAACTTTGAGAAATATTCAGCGCATAAGTAGCTGTCCCACATGTGCTCCCAGGAACCTCCCACCATCTCCAGGTTTAGAGATGGCTCCTATTCCAAGGGGAAATTTCCCCTTGAAACCAGTCATGTAATGCATTTTGCTGCTGACCTGTCACTGCAATCTTCCCAGGGATGAAGTCTGTCAGGATGGAAATTGGGCCTTGGCATAATGCTGGAGAATGCACAGTTACATGCACTGCAGCTAGAAGGGGGAAGATTGTTCCCTGACTTACAGGTGTATGGGGAATTTTTTCAAGGGTCTCAGCCAGAAAAAGGAGACAGGAGACCCCGTTGTGTCAAAGATTTCCCTGTCTCAATGGCATTCAGGTGGGAAGAGTAGTGATCTCCCCTTCTCTATTAAGCAAACATCACAAAATTCCTGTGAAGAAGAGGGCCCCCAATTTTGATAAAAAGAGAGCCCTCCCAAACATCCATCACTGACTGTTGGATGTCTCCCTTCCCCAGCACAACAGCCCATTGAAAGATAGCCAACACAGTTGTTTGCAAAAAATAAAACAATCCCTGCCTGCTACCCTTCCTCCTCTCTCCCTGCGGATTCCCAGCTGTGCCAGGTAAGGAGCCTAATGCAGTCTTAAGGCTGTAATAAATTCAACTGCCTGCATGGCCCCCTGTGAGTGGGAGAAGGTTTGGTCGAGAAGAGGATGCAGTCTTGCATGGGGAAGGTGGATGTTCAATACAATCTTTGTGTCTCAGCAGGTAAAATCTTCATACTTCTTTCTGCTCACCTGCTAGATGTGCACTCCTGGCCATGGAGCATGGGTTGATGGTGGGTTATTTTGCCCTTGCAATAAACCTGGTGCAGGAGAAGATTGGCCTAATGTGAAGTCCCAACCACAGTATTCTGAGGCTTAGGTGCTCCAGAAGATCTCATCTGGTGCATTAGATAAGGTCCTATAAGAATCTGAATCTACTTTGGGTTCGCTCTGCTAGTGAGTACTCTTAGACACCGGATGAACTACGTGTGTCTCTGCTTTAAAATCCTGCTAAGAAACTGATGTTGATCCAAATTTTCCTCCTTTACAAGGTACAACAAATAGTTATGGCTGCCTGTTTTTCATCCAGAGCAGACATTTTCATTCAATACAGAAACCTGTATAAAAGAGCTATAAGCTTCTCAAGCAGTCAGTATAAGCTGTTTTCTCCTTTGCTCCTCTTCCCTCTCTATAATTATCACAAATGAACCATTTGTCCTTCTTTGACATTATACAACAAATACATTTGTGTTAGCACCTTACATGGCTATAGAATACCTATGCAGTTTAGTTAGACAAATGAGAAACTTGAGAGTTTACATTATTTGCTTTCACTTATGAATAAGCTTTTCAAATTCACTTTTATCTGACACTCATAGATTGAGTTTGATGCAGTAATTCATCTCTCAGGCTTGCAAAAGATGTGATGTAAGTTATTAATTGGCTTTCAAACACCTAGATTACTAGTGACTTCTTATTTTGCTGCTGCTTCACTATAACATGTAGAAAGGTTCTAACACAAAATATATGATGCGTTTCCCCAGGACTGACAAGCAAGCAAATAAAATATCCTTTATGTTTTACATCTATAGTAATTATAGCCACTGTGCTTAAATTCAAGCACTGTAGTAAGGAAACTGACTTATCATAAAATTGTCAATTATGTCAATTTCACTTATATTGAGTTGTAATTTTTACCTAATTATTTATTTTGAACAGGTTTTGATACAACTGAAAATTTCTCATGCAATAAACTTGCATAATGAAAAATGATTTTCTATGGGCTATTTGGGAGCACTTGAAAAGAAAATAAACAATGTAAATTAGTTTCAGGTTCTCAATATAGATTTAATGTTTATTTAAACTGAAATGTAGGATAAAATAACAGGTTTCCTTGATGTGCTATTAATATCATTGCTGTTGTTTCTCTTTAAACAATCCATAAACAACCAGTAAACTCGCATGGAGAAAGTAAAAATTACAAAAGCAAAGCTATTGAGACACGGTAAAATAGTACGCTTCTGTAGGAATGAATGAAACAAAATAGAATTAATGATATTTGAATGTCCCAACCAAATCTAAGTGGTGCCTTTTTCATTAATGTTAATATCTAAAATATGAATAAATAGGTAAGGTGAAATTAAGAAACTGGTTGATTGTTTTTTATCTACACACAGCAGCTCACAAATAGTTATAGAAATGAAAAAAATTGGCATATGTACACATGCTGTTTGAGTTTAACTAGTAATCAGTCACAAGCCATATTGCTTTGAATATCTAGACAGAGATAATACTCTAACCAGATTCAGCTGCTCCTACTCACCTTACCCCTCAAGTAATAACCAATAATATTTCTTGAGTAAAATGCTATTTAATGTGAATAAGGGTTTCAGAATCTGACCCTAGTAATTATTATAATGATTGCAAAGTTGACAGAATAATTGTAATATATATATATGTACAGTGAAACAAACCTGCTTGTCACAATTGAAAATAAAGTAAAAACTTGAGGTCTGCTAGGTCATTTGGTAGAAAAATTTCTACCCTGATCTTCATTATATTTCCAGGCCATCTGACTTGAAAATTACATTTGGTTGTTTCACTGAAAAAAATTACATGAATGAAAAGCACAGAAGGCAACATAATAAAGAAACATCCAGATAGGGGATGGAATTCTAGCCCTATTGAAATCAATGGCAAAACTCCCATTTTGCCCTCAGGGGCCAGGATTTCACCCATGAAGGTTGCAGCTGACCCTCTCAGTATAATGGACTGAACAACAAAACTCTGTATCCAAAGCCTTTAAGTTTTGGGCACATTCAGCGTTATATCCACATGAAAATAGACTTTTTGGTGCTTATCCAAACAGAAGCTTCAAAAACCATTTGAGGTTCCCTATTGCTAGTTAGTGCTCTCCTATTGTATGTCACCTCTTACGTGATTTGAATAATTCACATCATCATATTTTATCTGGGATTAAGGATACTTTGAATTAGAAGTGGAAGGCGCTGAATCTAGATGGATTGAACACACATCTAAATGAGTGAATTTAAATGAATTCCATTGATAGAGAAAACTTCCACTAAATTCAGTAGAGCCAGGATTTGGCCCAATGAAGGGGACAAACAGTTGTGAAACAAAATTTGTTGCAGAGATTCATGTAGCAGTTCAGAGTGATTTTGTTTGCTCGTCCTTTTAAAGTCACGTACCTGATTTTTCTATGCTCCTTTTGACAAGGAAATCACTACCCCTAATCCCCATCTTATTTTTTTATAATGTGTTATTGGGATCTTTCCAACTAAGGAATTGAAATACAAGGTTCACTAAATGGAAGATTTTGTGTATGACTTGGTAGTGAAAGAATGCTATTCAAAGGCATTTCCTCTTGTTTGTCTCAAGAATCACTTATAAAAGCCACAATTAACTCTTTGACTGTTCACTTAAACTTGGAGAGATGCTGAGACTTGTAAAAAGAAAGAATATTTAAGTGCCCCCCTTAGGGTAATTAGTTATGAAATGCTCAGATGTTGATATTTGCTGTGATGCAAAAGACTCCACTATAAAGCTGTTATTTAGATACCAGTCTTGGTGCAGTAACTAGATAGGTCAGGAATGAGATACCCCAAAACAAAACTTGACTAGTGGCCCATTCATTTAATCACTCAGGTTTTTTTTCACCTCGTGGTAAGTTCAAATTATGACATATTGTAGCTCTATTATTTAAAAAAAACTAACTTGCTCTTGCAACTGCGCAGTTAGATGTGTAACTACCTGATTTCTAGGTGGTCAGTACGGTCCTTGCGCATGGATATCCATGTGGACAATATTGGAGCTGTGACTCCATCTTTAGGCTTGTAACTTACTATTCTTTTTATTACCCCATGTCCTCAACCCCCACCTCAGCCCACTTGTTCTGTCCCTTAGAGTGTTAGCTCTTTGGGGCTGGGACTGTGATTTACTTTGGATTTGTACAATGCCTCGCACAATTGGGCCTCAACCTTGTTGGCTTCTAGGCACTCCTACAATATGAACGTTAATGCTAATTAATAATTAATTAATTAATAATGTTAATGTTTGTAAATTGAGTTGGAGCCTGAAAAATGCAATTTCTGTACCAGTGCTGACTCCAGAGTCCCTGTATCTCAAATAAGTTTATGGCAGCGTCGACTGTTCGATTACACATACCACCCTGAGGAGGTGTGGCATTCCTTGATGCATTTATCCCCCACATGAATTAAACCATAGAACACAACTTTATTTTCTACGTCATCTGTCACATACTCTCAGTATCAGAATGCTTCACAGAGTTAAATAACACTGTTACAGAGAGAAATAAAAGCAGATGGAGAGAGAAATGAAGAGGCATAGATAGGAGCAAATGGCTATGAGCAAGAGGCAGTGAGACTGAGATATAGGAAAGCTCCTCCAGATGGCAGGAGCTGCAGAGGAGAAGGTCTTTGGATGCTAATTCATGTCAAGTTTTTACAGTATAAAACAGTTTTTACAGTAGCTTAAAATGCGAGGGATTATAGTTACCTGCATCTGGCTCAGTAGAGCCACAGGCTGCAGCTGTGTTTCCCCTTTCCTGGTAATTAATTTTATCTCTCTTAATTACTTGTTCCTTCTTCGCATCAGTTCATCTCTTCCTCTTTCATGGCACTTCCTCTTTCCTTCTATTTTATGTCATCATATCTCAACTCTGTCTCATTTTGAATCTTATCTTTCCACACACCTCGCAGGGTCTGTTGGTGCAGGCAAGATCAAACCTGGGACCTCTAGAGCTAAATGCAGGAGCCTCTATGGCATGAGCTAAAAGGCATAGGGCCCTTAGCTAAGGTTGTAGAGCAGACTCATTAATCTCTAAGTGGTCTTCACGCCACTAGAGGGGACAGAACGCCACACCCAGGAGGTGTGTGGGTTACATTTATTTCCCCCTTCTCCCCTCCTTTTGTCTTCTCCTCCTCCCCTCTGTCTCTCTTCTGTCTTTCCCTATTTGTCAATATCCTTCTTTTCCTCCCGGACAATCATGGTCAAAGGAGACAATCCACTCCTCCTCCCCAAAGCCAGGCTGTGGGCTTGCACAAGAATGCCTTCCTTGCCTGCCTGGATCAAGAACTAAGGCAGTCATTCTTCTGCTTCTCTGTGCTCTTCAGAGCTGGGACTGAGGGCTGCTGTCACTTCCATACTTACAACCTGTGGCTCTACTGAGCCAGATGCAGGTAACTACCTGTAATCACTTGCATATTAAGCTACTGTAAAAACTTGACATGAATTAGCATCCAAAGACCTTCTCCCCTTCCATTGTGCTCCATTGGTAGCTGAGCACATTCAAGCAATAGCTGCCTGAAAGGACAGACTTCCTGCATGGATAGCTGCTAAAAGCAACACTGAGCCCCACCAGTTAACTGAGTAAAGCCTCAAGCTCCCTGTCACATGGAAACTGATCTCCTTCCAGGTCAGATAGGCCAAAATAAGCACATTTGGGTGAATAAAGTCAGACAAATAAGCAGCCGGATTGCATGAGTCAGAAAGAACCCAGCTTGACTCTCAGAATTCAGGGAGCGCTTCCAGGGCTCTGGCGACTGGAAAAATGTTTAGGTATAAAAACAGCAGATTTGGAGTCACTGTGAGACAATAAACCAGTGCCGTGTTAGTCCCTTTTTCACAGCAAAACTCCATCTAGACCCACTGAAATCCATTTAGACCCACTGAAATCACTGCTTTCTGGGTCCTCAAGTATTATTGCATCTACTCCCTCCTGCCATGTTTTGTTAACATTACACGTAACCACACTGCTTAGTTTAGGCTGTTTCACTTATGCTACATTGTGAGGTGTGTGTGTATGCAGCACCCACGTACTTCATCATTTGTTGGGAAGGACGCTTATAAATATATATGTATATATTTTTGATGCAGACCTTCAGAATGGCTTCTGTGTGTAAGTAAAAATTCATGTACATTTATTGAACTCAAGGCTCTTGGCTACATGTGCAACATTTAAAACATAGGCACTGAAATTATCCATGCCCTGTGTACACTGAAATGCAAGTCTTCTGTGAAAATGGTCTCTCTAAAAATGCTCAGAGTCTGAACTGTGTTCTAACATGGCGGGGGTGGGTGGGGGGAAGGAAAATGTCTGTAAACCATTTTGGGAGTGGTTGTTTAACACCAGATCAAAGAAGTTTTGTTATGATGTGTATTTAAACAAAAACTTCCAAATGCCTTGAGTGCACATCACAAAAGACAGTCTCTTATTGTTTAAAAAACATCAGCCTTCCTTGTTTCATCCCACGTATTTAATGTGTATCTTTGTGTAGGCAGCCACACAGAAACTGAAGGTGCAGGGGTTGTTCAAAGCTTCACAGTACTGTAGTATGATTACTTCCCGCACCAAAGAAGACAAAATACAGTGGCAGCAAAGCACCACCTGGTGGTGGTGCCTTATGAATTTCTAGCAAAAAAAGCCTTTCTAAAGTTGATCAGAAGGCCTGTACTACTGATGAATAGCTTGGCAGTGCAGTGATTGCTCACTGGGACAATCTCACTAGGATTTTAAATCATCACCTTGATCTCGAATATCACTGATTCCCAATCTCTTTCCTAGCAACACAACTCCGTGCCTGTGGTAATTAATGAGAAATGGGGTACCTGTTTGAACAATGTGGCAAGACTGAAAAAATACAGAATTTGGCTCCAGAGCTATCAATCCAGCATCATTCACAGTTACTAAAATGTAAAAAGGAAAAGTGCAATCATTACTGTAAACTCTAGTTTACAGAGAGTGCTGGAAAATATGCTCAGTAATATTATTAGCCCATTGGGTAGCAACAAGCTGCCAGACAGTTAATCAAACAGTCCATGTGGGTGGGAAAGGTAAATGCAATATCTATTGGCTAGGATACAATGGATTATCTTGGCGGACATGTATAGTCTTGGAGGCAGTTTCTCTGCAGTTCCCAGGGTTTCATTCAGACTTTTGTCAGTTTCTGTCAGTACAGACCCCGAGTTTCATTTTTTTCAGGCTTGAACAAACCCCCCAAACTTGGCCAAAGTTTTGCCTGGATGTGGGTTGAAACCATAGAGTTCCGCATGGTTTATAGCCAACAGCTTAAATAAGGGTCATTTCTTGCAAAAATCTTCCTGGGCTTTCTTGAAACTGTTTCTGAACAGTAGAGAGCCTTTAGAAACACAGCTTGCAATGCACAGCACTCCAGGCAGCCAGACGGTGTTCCAGGCTGTTTAATACAAGCACCTGGTGATTTTCAAATTGACATTAAATGAGAAATCGATTAATATCAGTTGATATTAAAGTAACACAGTTGTACTTAATTGATGCAAAAAGTTTTGGTCAGTGTGAGAAAAAAAAATCTCCACAAGGACAGATTTTCCACAAAGTGAGATGTTTATTACACTCACCTCTGGGCAACAAAATAAATTTGAATTTTCTACCATGATTCTCATTAAGAAATAACCATTACGAATGTCATGTAAATTTGGTGCTTTGTGTTCTTTGGAGTCACATTTATCAGCGTGTGCGTTTTGTTTTGTTTTTTTCAAGCAAACACAGGAAACCAGATTGGATATTGTTCCTTGGAGGATCACTTGTAACTAATGTAGAATGTGAGGCAGACAGTACAGAAGAAATCAGTCTTATTTAAACTTCATTGTGGAAGCTGCTACACTTGAAAGAATGTTTTATAAGTAAGACACGTAATTGTTCAGCAGCTCTTTCGTGCCCTCTGCAGTTAAGTCTATTTCTTGTGTATGTGCAGTCAAATTAAGATCTGTTGTTTTTCCTGCTAATGCAATTTACCTCAGGTAAATACCAGTACATCAGGGGGGTAATGCTGTTGTGGCTTCTGTTACTCACACCCGCCACTGACAAGCAAATGCTACAGAGTAGAATAAGGTTGTACTGTACATAGTCTAATTCACAGAAGTAGTTCAGAGCACTGAAATACAAGCACATTATTGCATGTACTGTTTGATGGCATGACTAACTTCACAAGTTTGCATGTCACTGCACACGCAATTATCTGTGCACTGGTTAACATACACCTGCAGTATTCAAAGCTAAATGAAAATTGCAGATCTTGAATATAGATGACTGTCCAAACTGCTTTGAAATAAGTAGGGCTATGGGTAGAGCTGCTATTATAAATTTCATTTTACTAACTATCAGTTTTAAAAATGTGTGCCAGATTCAATTATTGCTGCTCTCATTCACGCAAATAAAAGTATCATTAAATTAATAATCTAAATTACTATAAATTGCTTGTGTATGAATTAAGAGGAAGTTCTTTAATCATTAATTTTAGCAGCTAAGCAAGGCTAAAGATTAAAAATAAGAATGGTCCCTTGGAAGTAGAATAATAAATGACACTAATGGGAATATGAAAATGATTTCAGGCCCTGATCCAGCAAAGATTTAAGCGTATATCTCAATAAAAGCATGGGAGCAGTCCCTCTTGACTATTTGTTTGCTTTGCTGGATTAGACCACAGACTGTAAAATCTTGGAAATAGATTTTTCAGTATGTTTGTACAGTGCCAGAGATGGTAGCAGCATGCAGGTCAGGCCAGGGAGAGGGTTCCAAGCATTGGGACCACATAGTAGAAGGAGAGGGTCTCAAGTGTAAGGCACTGGATTGTGATTCAGGAGACAGGGGTTTAAATCTTGACTCTGTTACAGACTTCCTATGTAACTGTCACAGGATACTTAGTCTTTGCCTCAGTTTCCCATCTGTACAATGGAAATAATAAAACTTTCTTTCTCATGCCCCTTGCCAATTTTGTCTGGCATGCTCTTTGGGGCAGGCATGGTTTCTTACTATTGTGTGTGTTCAGTGCCTATTTCAGGGGTCGACAACCTTCAGCACGTGGTCCATAAGGGTAATCCGCTGTTGGGCCATGAGACATTTTGTTTACGTTGACTGTCTGCAGGCACGGCTCACCGCAGCTCCCAGTGGCCGCGGTTTGCAGCTCCTACTGGCCGGGGAAGGCAAACTGCAACCACTGGGAGCTGCGGGGGGCTGTGCCTGTGGACGGTCAATGTAAACTATATGTCTTGCAGCCCACTAGCAGATTACCCTGATGGGCCGCATGCCAAAGGTTGCCGACCCCTGGCCTATTGTAATGAGGGCACAAACTCTGTTGGGGACTCCAGGTGCTACATTATTACAAATAATTTTAAGATAAATAAAAATTGATGAATAGTTATTAATTGTTTTGCAGTGTGGTAGCAGTAGAGGCCCCAAACAAATCAGGGCTCCATTGTGCCAGGCACTGTACAAACACAGAGTAAGAGATTGTCTCTGCCCCAAAGAGCTTACAATCTAAATAGACATGAGAGGCACAGGGGGGAGGTGGAAACAGAACCATAGAGAAAGGCAATGACTTGACCAGAATCACACAGCAAGTCAGTGACAGCACTGTGACCAGAACCTAGGTCTCCCACTCAAAGTCTAGCACCACAGCTACTAGCCTACACTGTCTCCTTCTGTATGAATATTGGTTTGGTTTGTCTGCAGGAGTCAACAAGGTGCAATTTCTCTGTGATGAGGTGAGGAAGCATGGTCCAGTATTTAAAGCACAGGACTGTGAACCAGGCGTCCTGGGCTCTCCTCCCAGCTCTGCTAAAGATCAATTCTGTGACTCTTGGTAAGGTAGGGCTTCAATTTGGGCTTGAATAGGTACTGGGAGTGGCTGGCTCATTACAAAAGCAGCTTTGGAATTGACACCTCCTCATCTATTATTGGGAGTGGACTACATCCACCCTGATCAAATTGGCCCTGTCAACATTGGTTCTCCACTGTTCTCCACTCCCTTCCCTTCATGTGTCATTATATAATGCCTGCATCTGTAATTTTCACTCCATGCATCTGAAGAAGTGGGGTTTTACCCATGAAAGCTTATGCCCTAATAAATGTATTAGTCTTTAAGGTGCCACCAGACTCCCTGTTGTTTCTTTGGCAAGGTAGGGTTGTCTACACTGTGCCACAATGTGCACCAGAGGGGTGTAAATTGTAAAGTGCTCGAACTGCCTTGTGTAAACCCTGCTGCCACACTCTAAAAGGTTCCTTGGGCATGTTAACATAGTACTGTTTCAAATGAGACTATATCAATGCTCAGTAGATACCTTTAGTATTATTTACAACATACCTCGGTACAGAAAACAATTCAATAGTATATTGGAAACTCCTTGAATTCCTAGCTGAATCCTTTCTGGTATTGATTTTGCTTTTCAGTGACTGTAGAGAAGTAGATGATATGACTTATATATCTGGATTATTAGCAGTGCTTGTAAATTGTTTTTTTTTGTCAACATATTAAAATTATCCAATGGTGTCTTTTACATGACTGTGCAATGCAATAGGTTAGTGGAGGTATGTTCATAGTTGTGTTCTGCACTAAGAACATGAACTGAACTGAAAGGATAACGCTCTTGGACAGGCGCACAATCATTCATACTAATTCCATTGCTGTTGGCAAGTATATTTTCTTGAAAACATTCTTCAAGGAAAATAGACTTCCGATTTGTGCTGTACAAATATTTCTGACAATTGGATGGCTTGGGCAGAGCATATGGGGAAGCATAAGAGGTTAAAGCAGAAAAGTAGGCAGGGGCTAAATTGTGGAGGCCCTTGAAGACAATGGCAAAGAGCTGGCACATTGTGTGTGTAAAACAGCGTTGAACATTTTGTTCAAACCAGTTTGTATGAATGTTAAGTTTACCACTCTGAGATGTGCCAAAAAGAAACCAGTAGTTGAGAAAACACAACGGATTAGAAACATGCCATAATTTAAGGGATAAAGTTTCAGTATTTATCCAATAGTTAGCATGGGTAGTCAGCAAACGCTGATTCACCGCACACACCACCCCCCCATTACCTTTGCACATCCATCTCCCCAGTTCTGGACTGTAACCCACACCCTCTCAGGGTGGTGTTCTGTCTCCAGCTGGGCTACTGATTGAGGTTGATGAGCCTGCTAGAGCCCAGGCTGAGGTGTTTTAACTCAGGGAGTAGATGCTCCGGCTTTTAGGATGAGAGAGGCCAGCTTCCATCCCCACTGTCAGTGATCTGCTCAGGGGCATCACATTACACTTGCACTGCTCCAGCCCCTGCCTGTTGTTCTCCCACTGCATGGGAGTGGAATGGCTTGCTTGCTGTGACTCCCTCTCTAATTCTCTGTGCTTCCCTGGGGATGAGGTAGAAAGTTAGGGCTAGATTCACAAGGGGGATTTAGGTGTTGCATCATCCAGTGGTGAGCTGGGGCTGGTTCGCACCGGTTCGCGCGACCCGGTTGTTAAATTTTGAAGCCGGTTTAGAACCATTTGTTAAAGGGGTGGGCAAACTGTGGCCCGCGCACCACATGCGGCCAGTGGGACCATCCTTTCTGTCCCTCCTGAGCTCTCGGCTGGGGAAGCTCCCCTGAGAATTTTTACTCACCCAGCGGCCCTCCGGGCCTTCGGTGGCACTTCTGTGGTGTGTCCTTCACTCGCTCCAGGCCTTCGGCGGCACTTCGGCGGCAGGTTCTTCAGTGCCACCGAAGACCTGGAGCGACTGAAGGAACCGGTTCTTCAGCTTCTGGCAGCTCATCACTGGCAGCATCCAACTTTTAGGCACCCTGCCACTTCGTGAAATCCACAGCCCCAGGTTAGGCAGCCAGGCTCCCCATGCAGTGCATCGGGAAAGTTGGGTACCTAAACTAGGGCTTCAGAGAAGGCAGCAAGCTGAGTGAGGAGACTCTTTATCTAGCTGGTAGGAAATGCAAAGGATGTGGTGTGTCCAAAATCCTGCCCCTCAAAGGAATGTGGGCATCTAAGCCAGGTCAGACAGCATTTCACAAAGCCAGAAACGAAACCCCTCTTCCTTACTCATAACACCGGGTTCACCGGGGGAAGGAGACCAAAGCCCTGAGGTAAGTGGGAAAGCGGGATACCGGGAGGAAGCACAGGCAGGAATGTCTGTGAGGGGAGGGCTCCTGCCTCATACTGGGAATGAGGGGCGATCAACAGGTTATCTCAAGTGCTTATATACAAATGCACAAAGCCTTGGAAACAAGCAGGGAGAACTGGAGGTCCTGGTGATGTCAAGGAACTATGACGTGATCGGAATAACAGAGACTTGGTGGGATAACTCGCATGACTGGAGTACTGTCATGGATGGTTATAAACTGTTCAGGAAGGACAGGCAGGGCAGAAAAGGTGGGGGAGTAGCACTGTATGTAAGGGAGCAGTATGACTGCTCAGAGCTCCGGTACGAAACTGCAGAAAAACCTGAGTGTCTCTGGATTAAGTTTAGAAGTGTGTGCAACAAGAGTGATGTAGTGGTGGGAGTCTGCTATAGACCACCGGACCAGGGGGATGAGGTAGATGAGGCTTTCTTCCGGCAGCTCACGGAAGCTACTAGATCGCATGCCCTGATTCTCATGGGTGACTTTAATTTTCCTGATATCTGCTGGGAGAGCAATACAGCGGTGCATAGACAATCCAGGAAGTTTTTGGAAAGCGTAGGGGACAATTTCCTGGCGCAAGTGCTAGAGGAGCCAACTAGGGGGGGCGCTTTTCTTGACCTGCTGCTCACAAACCGGGTAGAATTAGTGGGGGAAGCAAAAGTGGATGGGAATCTGGGAGGCAGTGACCATGAGTTGGTTGAGTTCAGGATCCTGACACAGGGAAGTAAGGTAAGCAGCACGATACGGACCCTGGACTTCAGGAAAGCAGACTTCGACTCCCTCAGGGAACGGATGGCCAGGATCCCCTGGGGGACTAACTTGAAGGGGAAAGGAGTCCAGGAGAGCTGGCTGTATTTCAAGGAATCCCTGTTGAGGTTACAGGGACAAACCATCCCGATGAGTCGAAAGAATAGTAAATATGGCAGGCGACCAGCTTGGCTTAATGGTGAAATCTTAGCGGATCTTAAACATAAAAAAGAAGCTTACAAGAAGTGGAAGGTTGGACATATGACCAGGGAAGAGTATAAAAATATTGCTCGGGCATGTAGGAATGTTATCAGGAGGGCCAAATCGCACCTGGAGCTGCAGCTAGCCAGAGATGTCAAGAGTAACAAGAAGGGTTTCTTCAGATATGTTGGCAACAAGAAGAAAGCCAAGGAATGTGTGGGCCCCTTACTGAATGAGGGAGGCAAACTAGTGACAGAGGATGTGGAAAAAGCTAATGTACTCAATGCTTTTTTTGCCTCTGTTTTCACGAACAAGGTCAGCTCCCAGACTGCTACGCTGGGCATCACAAAATGGGGAAGAGATGGCCAGCCCTCTGTGGAGATAGAGGTGGTTAGGGACTATTTAGAAAAGCTGGACGTGCACAAGTCCATGGGGCCGGACGAGTTGCATCCGAGAGTGCTGAAGGAATTGGCGGCTGTGATTGCAGAGCCATTGGCCATTATCTTTGAAAACTCGTGGCGAACCGGGGAAGTCCCGGATGACTGGAAAAAGGCTAATGTAGTGCCAATCTTTAAAAAAGGGAAGAAGGAGGATCCTGGGAACTACAGGCCAGTCAGCCTCACTTCAGTCCCTGGAAAAATCATGGAGCAGGTCCTCAAAGAATCAATCCTGAAGCACTTGCATGAGAGGAAAGTGATCAGGAACAGCCAGCATGGATTCACCAAGGGAAGGTCATGCCTGACTAATCTAATCGCCTTTTATAATGAGATTACTGGTTCTTTGGATGAAGGGAAAGCAGTGGATGTATTGTTTCTTGACTTTAGCAAAGCTTTTGACACGGTCTCCCACAGTATTCTTGTCAGCAAGTTAAGGAAGTATGGGCTGGATGAATGCATTATAAGGTGGGTAGAAAGCTGGCTAGATTGTCGGGCTCAACGGGTAGTGATCAATGGCTCCATATCTAGTTGGCAGCCGGTATCAAGTGGAGTGCCCCAAGGGTCGGTCCTGGGGCCGGTTTTGTTCAATATCTTCATAAATGATCTGGAGGATGGTGTGGATTGCACTCTCAGCAAATTTGCGGATGATACTAAACTGGGAGGAGTGGTAGATACGCTGGAGGGGAGGGATAGGATTCAGAAAGACCTAGACAAATTGGAGGATTGGGCCAAAAGAAATCTGATGAGGTTCAATAAGGATAAGTGCAGGGTCCTGCACTTAGGACGGAAGAACCCAATGCACAGCTACAGACTAGGGACCGAATGGCTAGGCAGCAGTTCTGCGGAAAAGGACCTAGGGGTGACAGTGGACGAGAAGCTGGATATGAGTCAGCAGTGTGCCCTTGTTGCCAAGAAGGCCAATGGCATTTTGGGATGTATAAGTAGGGGCATAGCGAGCAGATCGAGGGACGTGATCGTTCCCCTCTATTCGACATTGGTGAGGCCTCATCTGGAGTACTGTGTCCAGTTTTGGGCCCCACACTTCAAGAAGGATGTGGATAAATTGGAGAGAGTCCAGCGAAGGGCAACAAAAATGATTAGGGAACTGGAACACATGAGTTATGAGGAGAGGCTGAGGGAGCTGGGATTGTTTAGCCTGCAGAAGAGAAGAATGAGGGGGGATTTGATAGCTGCTTTCAACTACCTGAAAGGAGGTTCCAAAGAGGATGGCTCTAGACTGTTCTCAATGGTAGCAGATGACAGAACGAGGAGTAATGGTCTCAAGTTGCAGTGGGGGAGGTTTAGATTGGATATTAGGAAAAACTTTTTCACTAAGAGGGTGGTGAAACACTGGAATGCGTTACCTAGGGAGGTGGTAGAATCTCCTTCCTTAGAGGTTTTTAAGGTCAGGCTTGACAAAGCCCTGGCTGGGATGATTTAACTGGGAATTGGTCCTGCTTTGAGGAGGGGGTTGGACTAGATGACCTTCAGGGGTCCCTTCCAACCCTGATATTCTATGATTCTATGATTCTCTGATTTAACACCCCAGTGATCAGAGCCCTCACCTAGGATATAGAAGACCCAAGTTGAAATCCCCACTTTGCCTGATTTGACCTCTCCCAGCAGAGGGCCCTAACCAGTCAGCTGTAGGGTTATTCTGGGGTGGGGCTGTGTCAAGCTCTCCTGTTGGAACAGTTCCACTGTGTATAAATAATTATATAATCGTTAGACCAGATGGTGACTATATGGCCTGGTGGTAAGAGACCAGGATTCAAATCCCTGCTCTAACTTGGGACAGGGGAGATTTGAACCTAGGTCTCCCACAGGCTGGGTGAGTGCTCTAATCACAGGACTGTCACATCTGTTGTCTTCTGATAGGCATGTTCAGAGCAGGCCTATCAGATTGGACCCAGCCAGTGAGATAGGTTGAGAAATGCTTAGTCTGTGAATCCTGCCAGGGCTTAGACATGAGCTAGGCACTGAGCTGCTCCAGGGTATCAGGATATGGGTG